TTTGGTCTTTTTTTGGAGACAGGGTCTTGCTATGCGGTTCAGGCTGGCCTTGAGCTCACTTTGTAGCCCAGGCTGGTCTTGAACTTGCAATGATCCTCCTGCCTCAGCCTCCTGAGTGCTAGGATTCCAGGCGTGCGCCACCACACCTGGCACATTTTTTAAAATAAACTTTTCATCTGGGAAAAAATTTAGAGTCACAGAGAAGTTACAATGGTCAGGTTGCAAAGGAGGTGCAGAGTGTCACCACACACCTTCACTCAGGTTTTTTTTTTTTTTTTTGGTACTGGGAATCAAATTCAGGACCTTGTGCTTGCCAGGCAGGTGCCTATGCCACTGAACCATATCCCTAGCCCTCACTCAGGTTTTTTAATGTTGATATCATACATAACTGTGCTTAACAAACTAAAAAATCAGGCTGGGGATGGAGCTCAGGTGCGTAGTACATAACCTAGCGTGTGCAGGGCCCTGGCTTTGATCTTTAGTGCTGCAAAACAAACAAACACAACTAATAAATATTCTTACCAACTAAATTACAGACTTTATCCAGATTTTCCATGAATGTTTTTTCTGTGCCAGGATCCAATCCAGGATACCACATTGCATTTAGCAGATGGCAGGAGTTTTTTGGTGGTACTGGGGATTGAACTCTGGACCTTATACTTGCCAGGCAGACACTGCATCACTGAGCCATATTCCCAGCCCCAGTAAAAAAAAGATTTATGACACGACATTCTAATTTATTCATTCTAATTGAAGTTATAATTCCAATGTTTTGTTTGTGTTTTGAGATAAGGTTTTGCTCTGTGTAGTTTAAAAATAGCATTCCTTTTGCCTCAGCCTCCTGAGTGCTGGGATTACAGGTGTGCACCACCACACCCAGTTTATAATTCCCTTTTGAAGTTATAATTCCTTTTTTTTGAGATGGGGGTCTCACTGTGGTGCCCAGGCTGACTTTGAACTCAGGGTCCTCCTGTCTCAGCCTCCTCAGTAGCTGTGACTGCAGGCACACACTACCATGCCTGGCTTGTCTACTTCTTCATTTGACAGTACTAATCATTTCTCATGTGCCAAGCACTGGGCTAGGGACCTAGCGGTTTGCTCTTAGCCTCTTATCCTAATCCTAGATAGTCTCATTTATTCTAATGCTTTAAATCTGAAATCGGCAACAAAGCCCCGCCTTTGCTCCTTAAGTGTCTAGCCTATCCAGCTGCTTCCTGGACATCCCCACAGGTAACCTCAAGGCAACCTATCCAGCACCTGCACACAGCCCTGGAGGTGCCTTTCTTTTAGGGTCAGCCACCTTCCAGCGGCTGGAGGTATCTGTTTCACTTCCCCAGCTCCAACTCAAAGCTGCACCAAGTTCTGTTTTGGAGCCTCTCAGATTGTGAAGGGCATTTGTTTATTCATTCATCCGCATTTATTTGATGCCTTTCTTGTTGGAGCCTGTCCTAGGCACCCCTCTGTCTTCTGTTCACTTCACCAGGGTCCCCTTGCTTTCCTGTCCCATTTTCCTTTTAGCACAGCCGAGCTCTTTCTTGTCTTTCTAGCTTCCTGTAACCGATTCTTTTCAGATATTTAGCTGTTAGCTCACATTTCCTGTTTTGCTTTTCCACTGCAATCATCACCTTCCAAGATATATTAATTACTGACTTTTAAAAAATTCATTTCTTATCTGCCCGTTTAAGATGGGAATGCTATGAGGGCAAAGACTTTGTTCTGTCTTCTTTACCATTGCATCTTTAGTTTTGAAACTCAGCACCACACACTTGGATACCCAGTATTGTGGAGCTCAACTGTGCGGTAGAGCATCCAGACCATTTGCGACAGATAAGGGGCAAAGGTATATACCGGTAGCAGGAAAGTTCCAGCCCTCCTACCATGGCAAGATGCTGGTCTGGTGGGGCTGCGAAGTCCCTCTTGTCTGCAGGGGCCCTACACCCAGCATTGACGTTCTCTTTCCTCAAGGGAGGCCTGGCTGGAGTCTCAGACCTCGTTTCCCATAATTACATGGGGTCAAACAGAGCTGCTCAGACTGAAGTTTAGAAGGCCTAGGCATGGTGGGTACACACATTTATCGTTAAGAAGTGTTACTGAGCCGCGTGTGGTGGTGCGAGGTAGGAGGCCATCCTGGGGTACTCAGTGAGTTCAAGGCCAGCCAGGACTACACGGAGATACTTTGTCTAAAAAAAAAAAGTGTTACTGAGGTTCCCTGTGGTTGATCCTGGTAATGGGTGGCGCTCTGATGGGTGGCTGGGTAGGACAGCCGGTCCGGCTGCTTAGGGCTGCTTTGACCCCGCCCCTGGGGGTCTTGGCCCCGCCCCCTGGCGGCCTTGGCCCCGCCCCTGGTGCTGCGTTAAGTAGAAGCTTCGTGGTGATTGTGGCGTGCCAGTGCTGTGACACCGCCTGCGACTCCCGCTGCGGCTGCCGCCCCTCGGCTGGAGTGGGCTGTGTCCATACGGTCCCGCGTGCAGCTGGTTTCCGGGCTGAGATGGAGCAGCCGGGTGAGGAGCTAGGCCAGTGGCAACCTACGTACCAACCGGTCCTGGTGAGTCCGGGGTCCGCCCGGGTGGCCGAGTGAGGGGCCGAGGAGTGGAGGATGGGGGTGGAGGGAAGCGAAGCGGGGAGGCGCTTAGAAACCCGAGGGAGAGGTAGTAAAGGGCGAGTTAGGAGACAGGGTAATCAAGGTTTATTCAGATAGTGCGTGTTGGGTGCTGAAGGTAGGAGGGTTCCAGGCAACTTCCCAGAGTGCCTTGGTATGGTATCGCCAAGGACAGGAAGGAAAAACTTCTTTTAACTGTATCCCTTCGTCAGACCCCGCTAGTACAATGATGAGTTGACCATAAAATAGGGTTATTTACTTGGCACTTGGGTCAGAACCCAAGGCCTTAACAAATACTTAGTGGGTGGATTGGAAGTGCGGGACATGGAGCCACAGGAGCAGCTGGCAAAAAGTGTTTAGTCCAAGCTTTGGAGGTCAAAGCACAAGTGAGGACTTAGTCTGGGACTAGGAAATTGGTGCTGCCAACGTTTCCAGGTCCTGCAATGGGCGGCGGCCTCCATCTGTCATAATGAGATTTGCAGTTTTGAAAGAAATCCCTGAAGAGTTGGGGCTCAGTTGAAAGCTGTTATGATAATTGGAAAGCGAAATGAGAGTGGAGAAGGAGAAACGATAGAATCTGAAGATATTTTGAAGGTACAACTACAAGCTACTTAGTATCACACTGTATTGTGCATTATAAATAATCTAGGGATTGTGTAAAGTCTACAGGGGAACGTGTAGGTTAGAAGTAAATACAGTGCTTTTTTAGACAAGAGACTTGAACATCTCTTTTTTTTTTTGTTTTTTTTTTTTTGTTTTTTTCCGGTACCGGGAACCGAACTCACGACCTTGCGCTTGCCAGGCAGGCGCTTTTGCCGCTGAGCTAAATCCCCAGCCCCGAGACTTGAACATCTCGATAGGAGATCTAGAGCCAGTCCCCTGCAGGTACCAAGAGACCTTTGCAGTTGCAGCACCCAGGATAACTTAACAGATTCCTCACTTGCAAAGCTGTGTGAACATGGTGACATTTTCTGAGAAAGCAAAGGATAAGAAGGAACGGGATTAATGGGATCTTTTGCAGGGAGAGGAGGTGGTAGGCAGGGATTCTTGGATATAATCCCTTTGAAGTGCCTGTGGCTACCAAAATAGAGGGATCTTCCCTGGAGCTGTGGGTTTAAGAATAATTGGAATACAAGTAGAAATGGATCCATTAGCATTGGAAAGATTGCCCAGAAGGAAGAAGGGAACTCTGCAGGAGCCTGGAGGAGGAGGGGCAGAGAGAAGAGAAAGCCCAGAAAGTGTGTCAAGGTATGTTCAGGAGGCTGAGGGGAGGCCAAGCAGAGCGAGACTAATAACCTCAAGCCCTGGAGAGGTCAAGCTGGGAAGAGTTTGAAGGTGTTGCTTGGACTTAGTGCTGTGGAAGTCAGTGGTGCCCCTTATGAAGTTGGTTCCGTGGGGATGAAGGAGCCCGGGGCAAGTATGGGGAAGGAGAACTTGAGGCAGTGCTATGTTCACACAGCTCTGAAGAAGTTTGCTTGTGAAAGACAGAAAAAGAGGATCATTCCTGAGAAGGAAGGAAATGAGGCTGTGATCCTGCCTCAGCTTCACGAGTGCTGGGATTATGGGCGTGAGCCACCACGCCTGGCTCTCAAAATGTAATTTAGCTTAATCTTCTGTCTTAGTATCACCTGTAAATTAGAATTAGAATTTTTTTTTTGTAGTTCTAGACTTGATCTCATGCTGGGCAAGTGCTCTACCACCGAACTGTATCTTCAACCCCTTTGCCTATTTTTGAGCTTAATTTGTTTTATAATCTCTAAATATTAATCTCTTATCAAATATGCAATTTGCAAATATCTTCTCCTGTTCTGTGGGTTATCTTTTGTTGTTGTTTTTGTTTTTTGAGACAGGGTCTCATTATGTAGTTGAGGCTGGCCTTGAACTTACTACGTAGCCCAGGCTGGCCTCAAACTCACATCAGTCATGAGTGCTGGGATCACAGTGCTGGGATTACAGGCTAAGGCGGGGATTACAGGCTAAGGCGGGGATTACAGGCTAAGGCTGGGATTCAGATGCCACCACACCTGGCAGTTTTTTGTTTATTGAGACAGGATCTTGTGATGTAGCCCAGCTCTGGACTCAGCCTCCCAAGTCTGGGATTACAGGTGATCACTATCACACTTGTTTTTGAGTTAAGTTTTGTATACGGTATTAGGTCAAGCTTCAATTTCATTCTTCTGCACGTGGCTATCTAGTTTTCCCAACACCACCTGAAAAGATTGTTATTTTCCCAATTAATGATCTTGGCACCCTAGTCAAATATCATTTGACCAATTAAGCATTGACTTATGTCTGGGGTCTATTTATTCCTATGCTATTACTATGGCTTTGTAATAAGTTTTGAAATCAGGAAGTATGAAGCCTCGCTTTGTTTGTTTTCAGGATTGTTTTGACTCTTTGGGGGGGTTCCAAACGCATAACTGGTTGCATTGCCTATAATCCCAGTACTCGGGAGGCTGAGGTAGGAGGATGTCAGTGAGTCTGAGGTCAGCCTGGGCTACATAAGTGAGTTTAAGGCTAGCCTGCACTATATCACCAGACCCTTTCTCCACAAAAAAAAAAAAAAAAAAAAAAAGGATTTTTATATTTCTGCAAAAAATGTTGGAATTTTGTTAGGAATTGTACTGAATCTTTAAGCCTATTTGAGTAATACTGACATCTTAACAATAGTAGATTTTTCACACCATGAACACAAGATGTCTCTAATGTCTTTTTTTCCTCTACTTTTTTCTGATGTCTTTTTAGTTTTTTTGAGACAGGATCTTTCTATATAGTTCAGGCTGGACTTGAACTCTCTCTGTGGCCCAGGCTGGCCTTGAACTCAGCAGTCCTCCTGTGTCAGCTTCCCAAGTGCTAGATTTACAAGCATACACCACCATGCCTGGCCTGTTAACTATTTTTTTTTTTTTTTTTGAGTTAAACTTTTAAATTTCCTCTTCATTTCCTTTTGTATATATTCTATAACTTTTCTTTGTGGTTACCTTGGGGATTATAGGCGACACCCTAAAATTATAACACTATTTGAATTTATACCAGTTTAACTTCAACAGCACAAATATTTTTATAGCATAACATTATGTTTTATAGTATTACATTTTTATGCGTAGTATGCTTAAAAGTATAGATTTGTAATCTTTATGCATAAGTTTCTTAAATTATGTAGAAAACAAAGTGGAGTTAAAAAAAACAAAGTTATAATAAAACTTTTATAATAATTATCTTTATATCACTTATCCCAGAGATCTTATGGCAAATTTCTTTCTGGCTTTAACAGCAACTGTGGCAACTATCTACTGTCCTTTCTTTTCAATCTGAAGGGCTCCATTAATGTTTCCTGCAGGGCAAACCATCTGGGAGTATCTTTCTCAGCTTCTATTTGTCTTTCTGAGATGGGGTTTCACTATGCAGTTCAGGTTGGCCTTGAACTCCCTTTGTAGCTCAGGCTGGCCTTGGCAGAGATCCTTTCTATATCAGCCTCCCAAGTGTTTTTTTTTTTTTTTTTTTTAAATCTGTGTCTTTTTATTTTATTTTTTTAAGGAGGGGTTAATTTCTCATTTTTGAAGGACAGTTTTGTCATGATACAGTTTTGTTTTTGGTGGTGCTGGGGATAGAATACAGGGTCTAGGCAAGCACTCCTACCATGCAGTTGCAGGCCCCCCCACTTTGTAATATTGGGAATTAAACCCAAGGAGCACTGAATGAAATCCCCAGCCCTTGTTTTAAATTTTATTTTGAGACAGGGTCTACTGAGTTGCCCGTGCTGGCCTTAAACTTGTTACTGTCCTGCTGAATAGCTGAGCTTACAGGCATGCACCACCCTACACAACTACTGCTAGCTCAGATGTAGGATTCCTGAATGACACCTTTTTCTTTCAGCAGTTTGAGTACGTCAGGTCCTGCTCTTAGATGTCCAGGTATTATCCAAGTGTTAAATCGCTCACCAATTAAACATTTCAGGTCCATTTTGCCTTGAACAAAGAACTGGAGGAGACAAGCCAAAAACATTGCCAAAAACTTACTTGAAAAGTGAGGGGTGAAGGGGTGAGGGAAGAAATAGCTTTGCAGAGCAACTTTGGGTTGAACAAAAGAGGAAAAGAGAAAAAGCAAAAATAAAAGTACACCTTGGTCTGAAAAACAAAGTAGGCTACTGCGAAGAGTCAGGGTATTGGGCACCTGGTAGCATCTGGTCTCTTTTATGCATCCACATCTCATGGGAGCTGGTGAGAAGTTTCACATATGGGATCCTGGGAATTATGCGGTACTGTCCTGGGATAATGTAATTTACAGGTCTCACTTTTTTTTTTTTTTTTTTTTTTTTTTTTTTTTAGAGGGGAGTTCTG